TAGGTACGCTTTTTTCGTCCCCCAGGGGGGCGCTTCCGGGCATGTCAAAAGGGGGTCGGACTGGTTCCGCCTCTGCGGCCTTGTCGCGAAGACCGGGGGCAGCATCGTTCAAGGGGAACACTACGAGGTAAAGCTACCGGGGCGGTGCCTGCAACAAGCTTGCACGGATTTTTGGAGCCCTCTGGAACCCGTTCCCGCGCCCGAATTATTGCCCCTCCCCTGGCGGCGCCCTGGCCTGCGGGGGCCCGAGAGCCCCGGCGCCGCTGACCGGGCCGCGTCCCATGCCGGCGCCCGCCGTCCGGTGGCGGCGGGCCGGGGCGCCTCCATGCCCCGTGCCGTTCGACGGCTTACACGCCCCCGTCTTCTGGCCGTCGTGCACGGAGACCCCTGGCCGACGGGGGGCGCTGCCCGAAGGCGGAAAAACTGGCAGAACGATCGCCCCCCGCTTCGACGCCAGCTACCGCGCCAAGTTCCCACGCCCACAGCGCGTCCAACGCTCTCCCTGATCGCGCCCGCGCAGCCCAGCGAGCGCGCCTCCGCGCAGCGCAGAGGCACGCGTTCATTTGGCATTGCCTTGGCAGCGCGCGAGTCACCGATCGGGAATTCCCGTGCGCGCGAAGTTCGCAGGCATAGAATGCGCCGAGGAAGATTTCCGATGAGTTGCCAACTGCTGTAACCAAGTTCCCGCGAAACGCGGATCTAACTGCGCGGCTGCAGGCTCTGGCGGACCTAGCGGCAGCGCTCCGCATCCAGGCGCTGCGAATCGGGGCGGCATTGCACGGACTGGGGCACATGCTGAACCGAGCTTGCGAATCCGATGGCAACTACGTTCAGGCGATCGCTCGCGCCACTCGGAATCGCGAGCGAACTGCCGTCTGACACTGGCACGCGCGCCGATAACATGCAATCGCACCTGCGCTGCTGGGGTCGCTCGTTTGGCGCGGCGCGCGCGCGAAGCAGCTGAGCAGGCAATGTCTGTCAGTTCGTGCGAGCCGCGCCCAATAAAACGCGTGATGGCTCAGTTCAAACTGTTCCACTCGCTGCGTGCACAGCGGCCCCCGGTGCGATGGCCGACGCGCTGGTCGCGCTCATCGAGACGGCGGGGGCGCCAAGGAAGCAAGTCTTGGATCTGATGGGGTACCCCAGGGGGGTAAGGACCACAGCTTCTCCAGTTGCCGCTGGTCGGTGCTGGTGGGGCTTGGATCCGCGTGCGTGGAGCGTCTGAGCGCGTGTCAAATAAACAAATGCCGCGCAGGATGAAAGCAGAAGCATCGATATAGGCCATCTTTATCTCCGCGCCCTCAAGATTGATCTCGAGCGCGCGCGCGGCGCTCGTCGTTATGTCGACGTCGCCAGAGAGAACAAACCAAGATATCCTGGAGTTCCGTGTGGAGAGCTATGGATTCCTGAGGGGGTGCTAAGGTATCCTGAGGGCGTGCTACGGATTCCTTAGGCAGTGCCAAGGATTCTCTAATGATACATAAAATCCCGCAGGGTTTCCGACGGGTCCCCGAGGGGTTCCTCAGGATATCCGAGGGTCCTAAAGGCACGCATGGGGCCCATGAGGATTGCCGAGGGATCCCGAAAGTGGTCCCGCGGAGGAGTATCCAGCTCTGTTCCCCCCCTGGTTGACGAAACCATTCGCTGGCGCCCCCTGGCGCAATGCGACGCGGCGGACCCACCCCCCCATTCTGGGCGCAATGCAGCTCAGCGGAACGGACGCAGGGGAGGAGGAGGAGGAACAGCAGCAGGAGGAGGAGGACGCAGCGGGTTTGGCGTTCCTGTGCGTTCTTATCGTCCGCCACTTAGCATTTCGACTGCGGTGCTGTATATATATATATATATATATATATGTATACCTGTAACGTCCCTCGCGGGGGTAGAAACCGATCGGTTGCAGTTTACTCCGTGGAGCGTCGTGTTGTCTCCTCCTCCACCCGTGTTCTTGTGCCAGACGTCCACCCCTGAGGCTCTCGGAAGTGCCCGCAAGGCTCGCAGGTGGTCAGAAAAATGCCCCGAACATTGAAGACTAAGTTATTCGAGGTTTCGTCTTCGACTCCGTTCCCAGAGCCCCGACGTGGTGTCTGTTCATCGTGTCGGCGTTTTTGTTGTCGTGAAATTATCCTAGAAAGGCCTCTTTGTGACGCTCCCGAGAGAAGGGAGGAGGGAGGAGGGAAGGAGGAGGGAGGAGGGAGGAGGACGGATGGGGAGGAGGCGGATCTCGCGCACGGCGCTATCGGAGCCATCGGGGCTACGGATGAGGTAGGAGGAGGAGGAAGAGGGGGAGGAAGAGGAGGAGGCGGAGGAGGAGGAGGAGAAAGAGGAGGAGAAGGAGGAGGAAGAGGGGGAGGAAGGATTTGAAGCAGGACGGATGAGGAGAAAGATGACGACGACGAGCAGGAGGAGGAGAGGGAATGACGCCCGTCCTGGAGCCTCTTGGTGTCGCCTTGGCTCTCCTAGAGCGTGCTGGGGGTCCTGTGGCCTCGGGGCCTCTTGGGGCCTCTTGGAGCCTCCTGGGCCCTCTGGAGCTCATTGAGTGTAATTCAAAGTGGGTCCTCCGGGGGGCTCTTGAGATCTCGTGGGCTCTCCCGGGGCCGCCATGGGCCCTCCTGGAGCCTCCGTGGGCCCTCTAAGAACTCTCTCGCGGGGGCGGAGTGATGAAAACAATTTCACGCATGGGGGCCTTTCCGTTGAGAGGTGGGCGCGGTGCAGAGTGGGTCCTCCTGGGGCCCTCCGGAGATCTCCTAGGCCGCCATGGGCCTTCTGGAGCCTCTGGGGGCCTCAAAGAAGCCTCTCGCGGGGGCTGAAAAATGACAACAGTTGCACGGATGGGAGCCTTTCCGTTGAGAAGGAGAGCGCGATGAAAGGTAATAAAGTGACGACAGTGTCGCACTTGAGGCCCCAAATCGTCTTTGGGCACCTCGGGCGCGAATCCCGCTCCCCCATAGTACGGTGCGATTTCCCCTCCCCCCGCTGTCCCGCCGGACCCCGGGAGGGTGATTTTTGTGGTTTTCGCTTGTAAGAAACACTTCCCCCCCCCTCTCGACGGTGACGGAGGGCAGGCGGCGGGGGTGGGCGGGTTGGCGGGGTGGCGGGTTGGCTGGGGTTGCGGGGTGGCTGGTTGGGCTGGTTGAGGCTGGTTGGTTGGGCTGGCTGGTTGGGCTGGCTAGGGCAATTGGTTTCGACTACCTACGACTACTACTACTACTACTACTACTACTACTACTACTACTACTACTACTACTACTACTACTACTACTACTACTACTACTACTACTACTACTACTACTACTACTACTACTACTACTACTACTACTACTACTACTACTACTACTACTACTACTACTCCTCCTCCTCCTCCTCCTACTACTACTACTACTACTGCTACTGCTACTGCTACTGCTACTGCTACTACTACTACTACTACTTCTACTACTACTACTACTACTACTACCACTACCACTACCACTACCACTACCACTACCACTACCACTACCACTACCACTACTATTTTACCTTCTACAACTAATACTACGACTACTACTACCACGTACGACTACGTACATCGAAGTACAACCGCGTAATGCGCATTACCTAGCGCGTATTACGCAGCACGTACTACGTCTTATTACAACTGCTATTACTACTACTACTACTACTACTACTGATATTACTACTACCCGTATTTATATTAGTATTACGGTTGCTACTTCTCATGCTACTGCTGCTACGACTATTACTACCAGCGATATTTCTACGAGTGCTACTATTACTTTTTACTAGTACTACTACTACGACTACTACTACTATTACCACTACTACTACTACTACTACTACTACTACTACTACTACTACTACTGCTACTACCCCAACTACCACTGCTACAACTGTTACTTGTATTCTTTCCATCGTACCACTACTACTACTACTACTACTACTACTACTACTACTACTACTACGACTGCTACTACTACTACTACTACTGCTACGACTCCCACTACTGCTACTACGGCGAGGACGACTTCGATGTGTGCTACCACCGCTACTTGCACAACCAATACTACTACTACTACTCCTACTACTACTTCTACTACTACTTCTACTACTACTAATACTGCCCGTACAACCACTGCTATTATTATTATTACTACTGTTATTACTACTACTACTACTACTACTACTACTACTACCACTACCACTACCACTACCACTACCACTACTACTACTACTACTACTACTACTACTACTACTGCTACTACTACTACTACTACTGCTACCTGTGCTACTACTACTTCTGTTGTTATTTCTACTAATTATACTGCTCCTCCTCCTCTTCCTCCTCCTACTACTACTACTACCACTACCACTACCACTATTACTACTACTACTACTAGAACCACTACTACTACTACTACTACTACTACTACTACTACTAGTATTACTACTACTACGGCTACTACCGCTGCTGCTACTACTACGACTACTACTACTACTACTACTACTACTACTACCACTGCTACTACTACTACTACTACTACTACTACTACTACTACTACTACTACTACTACTACTACTACTACTACTACTATCACTACTACTACTACTGCTGATGCTGCTGTTGCTGCTGCGACTACTATTATTATTCCTACTACTACCTACCACTACGACGACTACGACTACTACTACCACTACGATTGCGATTACGACTTCAACTACGACTACGACTACTCGCACCCTGTTTGTCGCCGGCCCCCGGGTTACAACAACAACGGCTCCCGCTTAAGATTTCGTTACAATTTGGCCAGGACCCCCGCTCCCGATTGAGACTTCCTCGCATTTTATTCAGGAATCGCGCTCTCGATGGGGATTTCCTTGCAATTTATTCAGGATGTCTAGCTCTGTGAACGTGATTGCCTGTCCCACAGTTTCGGCGGCTGCGCGGCAGGATACAGAGAAGAGCTCACTCGTGTGCTGTGCCTCTGTCCGCCGCCGTGCTGGCCCAAGCCTTTTAGAGAGCGGCGACCGCATGCTTCACAGTTTCGTCGCTCAGTCAGGATTCCTTGCGGCTGGGCAATTTGCGGTAGACTGGGCTCGCCACCTCGGCAGTGTCGTGGCGGAGGCTGGACAGCTGGCGGTGGCGGCGGACCAGTTCGGGGGCACGCGTACGCTTCTGCATAGGCACGCTGGCGGGCTGCTGCTGCTGCTCGGTGTGCGCCCTGGCGGGCAGTGTTGTCTGGCATGGGTCTGGAGTTGCGGGCTGGAGCTCGCGTGCTGGTGCAGTGGCGCGCCCAGGAGGACTACCAGGTACGTCTTCTCCTGCGTCTCTCCGACGCCGCCGAGCACGAGCGCGAGCTCGGGGCTCCTCCGATGAGTCCGACGAGTCCAGTGTGGATGGCAGCTACTCCCGACGAGGACATCTATCCGCACGAGCTCGAGGTTCCGTCCTTGCATGCGCTGGCCCCGTGCGATCGGATGGGCCAGCCGCGATGGCGCGACCGAGTCGGGGGATCGGGCCGCTTGGTGGCCCGCCCGACATGCGGCGACCAGTGGTTTCCTCCGCCCCTCGTGTTCATGGAGCTTCTCGAGTCCTGCGGCGCGACAGCACCGGAGGCGGCGGAGGCGTCAGCGCTGGCGGCGAGGCCCGAGGGCCTGACGGCTCTGGGTGGGACAGCGACTCCTTCTGAGGGGCTCGGGCGCGGCTCGGGCAAGTTGCCCGCAGTCGGCAACCAGCGCTGGCTCATCACGGCTAGCGAGGACGACAGCGAAGTGAATGTACTCGCCGACTTCGAGGGCTGCGAGTGGTACGCGATGAGTGGGGGACTGGCCATCGCGAAGGCGGGCGGGAAGTGCTACCTGGTCAAGGCGGTGACGGGGAAGGAGGCCGAGAGCTCGATGGGCGCCCGCGCGATGCCGATCTTGCACGGGCTCGACGGCGAGAGGAGGCGGGTGTTCAAGGACGCGGTGCGCGGCATGGCGGAGACGGCGTGGTCGGGGTGGCCAGTCAAGGGCCCGCGCACTGCGCTCTGGTGCGTCCGCTCCCACGCGGAGCAGGACTCGCGCCCGCGCGCCCGCCGCTCCAAGTGGCGCGCGGAGTGCGGCCTTGGGCCGGGCGACGTCGGCGCGTCGGACCACGAGCTGGCGATGCGGGCGCCGGAGCTCGGCGCGGGCTTCGACCAACTCAATCTGACCGAGCTGTCGCTGGTGGAGCTCCTGGTGCGCCGCGCCCAGCTCGCGGAGTGGCGGCGCCGGGGGCGGCTGCTGAAGGGCAGCGGCGACGAGTACCTGGAGGGCGAGTACCTGTACATGGGGGCCTCGGAGACGAGGGGCTTGCAGATGGCGTGCCCGACGCTCGTGGAGAACGCCCAGGCCGAGCTCCACAGGGAGGCGACGCTCATGGAGGAGAAGCGGAAGCTCCGCGAGGGGGATGCTGTCGCGCGGCCAGGGCTCGGGCAGCGGCGGCAACAAGGCGCCGCGCGACGAGGTGGCGACGCAGGCGGCGGAGATCAGCAAGCTCCAGGCGAAGCGGAAAGGCTCCCACACCGGCAAACCAGATGCCGGCGGGGGCGGAGGCCGATAGCTCACGGCGGTCGCTCGGGAGCTGCTGCCCTGCCCTGTGCCCGCGCCCGGCCGTAACTGGAACAGCGGGGGATGCCGGGCGGTGCGCTCTCGAGCTCGGCAGCGTCAGCACGCTGCGCGGTGGCTCTCTGAGGCTTTGCACGCTACCAATTCATTGTGCGGACATGGAGCTCCACGCCAGGATCTTCAAGTTTCGTGCGCCCAGCTCGCCGGCATTGACCGCGTCCGCGAGATCATCCGAGAGGCGGGGCCTCTACCGTTTTCAGGGGCGACAGCTCGCGCCGAGCCGTGCTCTCATTTGCCGGGGTATGCAGATGGCACCGTGCTCCGAGCCTCCTACTCCGAGGGGCTGGTCTCCCTGCCGACCATGGGCGGCCATTGCGTCGGCGCCGACTGCCTGACTGGTCGTGCTCATGAGTTGTGGGTAGGATGGCAGAAGCATCTTCTACGCGAAGAAGGGCCGCCTGACGGACCTCGACTTCGACCTTTCTCCGACCCGAAATTAGTGCATTGCAAGAAGACGTACGCTCGCTTCATTGGGGGGCTGCTCGTCAGGGGCCTGATCGACCTTGGCGAGCGGACCGAGGCTACGGTAGGCATTTGTTTTGTTCCCCACATCCTGAGTGGGGTTCTTGTTTTCCCAGGACACCCTCTCCTTCCCACCTTCCCACCTTCCCACTTTCCCACCTCCCGCTCCCTCTTCCTATTCCTGCCATGCCATACTATACCATACCATGCAATACCGCTTCCTCTTCCTACTCCTACCACACCTTATTATACCATACAATACCATACCATACTATAGCAGACCACCGTACCTACCATACCACACTTAGGAAACCATGCATGCACCATCACCGCATACCTACCACACGATACAATACCAGACAATACCTACTTGCCACGCTCGCTCCCTCTTCCTATTCCTACCGCCCCAAGGAGGCCCCGCCAGAGCGAGGACAGCATTCGCGAACCATATTATTTATCAGGTTTCGCGCCCCTCCCACCCCTCCAGGGAGGCCCCGCCAGAGCGCGGGCAGCATTCGCAAACCATATTATTTATCAAGTTTCGCGCCCCTCCCAGCGCTCCAGGGAGGCCCCGCCAGAGCGAGGGCAGTATTCGCAAACCATATGATCTATCAGGGTTCGTGTCCCTCCCACCGCTCCAGGGAGGCCCCGCCTGAGCGAGGGCAGTATTCGCAAACCATATTATGTATTAGGTTTCGCGCCCCTCCCACCCCTCCAGGGAGGCCCCGCCAGAGCGAGAGCAATATTCGCAAAGCATATCATTTATCAGGTTTCGTGCCCCCCCCGCCGCTCCAGGGAGGCACCGCCTGAGCGATGATACTATTCGCGAGCAATATTATTTATTATGTTTAGTGCCCTTCCCACCCCTCCAGGGAGGCCCCGCCAGAGCGAGGGGAGTATTCGCAAACCATATTATTTATCAAGTTTCGCGCCCATCCCACCGCTCCAGGGAGGCCCCGCCTGAGCGCGGGCAGTATTCGCAAACCATATTATTTATCAGGTTCCGCGCCCCTCCCACCCTTCCAGGGGGGCCCCGCCAGAGCGAGGGCAGTATTCGCAAACCATATTATTGATCAGGTTTCGCGCCCTTCCCAGCGCTCCAGGGAGGCCCCGCCAGAGCGCGGGCAGTATTCGCAAACCATATTATTCAGCAGTTTTTGCCCCCCTCCCACCGCCCCAGGGAGGCCCCGCCTGAGCGAAGACAATATTTGCAAATCCTAGTATTTATCAGGTTTCGCGCCCCTTCCCACCCCTCCAGGGGGGGCCCGCCAGAGCGAAAGCAGTATTCGCAAACATTATTATGTATCAGGTTTCGCGCCCCTCCCACCGCTCCAGGGAGGCCCCGCCTGAGCGAGGGCAGTATTCGCAAACCGTGCTATTTATCAGGTTCCGCGCCCCTCCCACCCTTCCAGGGAGGCCCCGCCAGAGCGAGGGCAGTATTCGCGAACCTTCTGCGTGGCCCGCCCGCGCTGCGCCCGCGAAGGCCCCCGCTCTTGTGCTGTTGTTCCGATTTGCATTATCTTGGCCGCGTCGTGTGCGCGAGGTGTTCCCCAAAACATTTGCCTGCGCATCGCCGTCGCCAATTGCAATCTTCGTCGCCCTCGTCACCCGGCCATCCTCGTCGACCCCTCCCCCCGCACCTCCGCCTATTCCTCTTCCTCCTGACTAAGCCCGCGCCTTATTAAAACGCCCGTGTGGGGAACTCCGATAGCATAATTTTCAAGGGCGACAAGCGGTCCCCCCGCATGATTGCGGACGCGCGGGTGGCGAACATGCGGTTCCGTCCTCCCGCGCACTCGGAGCCCCCGACTGCGGACTGCGGGTGTTTGGAGCAGCTTGGCCGCGCCTGAGGGGAAGTCCCTCCGCTTGGCCCAGATGGGCGTGGACAACGCGTTCTACAGGATCGCCACGCCGCCTGGGCTTCGCGACCATTTCGTGCTCCCCGCGGTCGACCTCGACGCGCTGCGGGCCGAGCGGCCCGACTTGTCCGCCCAGCTGCCGTCTGGGCGGAAGGCGTCGCCCCGGCTGGCCGTCTTAGCCATGGGCTGGAATTGGAGTCTCTTCTTCTACCAGCAGATGGTGGAGACGCAGGTCCTCCGCAGCGGGCTGGCGTGGGAGAGGCTGGCGCGTGACCGGCGTCCCACCCCTTCGCTGGGGGAGGGGCCCGCCGCCGCAGTCTACGTCGACGGGGCCGCCGCCATCGGCCTCGACTACACGGAGACCATGGAGACGGCGCAGCGGGCGCGTGAGTCACTGGAGGCCGCCGGCCTACGGTGCAAGGGGCTCGAGGGCCCGTGCGCGGAGGCTACCTTCACGGGCCTGGTGTTGGACGAGGCGAGGGGCCGCGTCGGACCCAGCCGCCGGCGCATGTGGCGCATTCGCCTGAGCTCGCTGCACGTTGCCGACCGCGGGTCGGCCACTGGCGATGAGATGCGGGTGCTCCTCGGCCATTTCACGTGGGGCGCGCTGGTGCGACGCGAGCTGCTGTCGATCTTCTCGGCGACCTACCGCTTCGCGTCCTGGGCTGGCGGGCGGCGGCGGCGCTTGTGGAGCGCCGCGGAGGCCGAGCTCCGCATCGCCGCTGCGCTCGTGGTGTTCAGCTACGTGGACTGCCGGCGCCAGCCCGGCCCCGTGGTGCTGGCGACCGACGCCTGCGGAGCGACGGACGCCGACGCGGGAGGGTTCGGCGTGGTGAGCCGCGCTTGGGACCCGCGGGACGTTGGCCGGTCGTGCAGAGCGGTGGCGCACTGCGTATCAGAGGCGGTGGCAGCTCGGGCGCACGTCCTCGGGCTTTCGGAGCGCCCGCGCGTTCCCGATAGCCTGCCGCCGCCCTCGGGGGCCGACAGAAGTCTGAGTCCATGCAGTCAGGGGTCCTGCAGTTTGGCCAAGTCTACACCTCTTGCGAGGCCCCGGCACCCAGTTTCGGACTTCGAGCGGGCGTTCGGGGACATGTACTCTGGGACCGTCTCGTTCGAGCAGATCTCCTCGGAACGCGCCGGCCCCCTCGAGTCGTGGCAGCTTCGGGTCAAGGGCAGGTTCAGCAGAGCCGAGAACATCATTCGTCTTGAAGGGCGCGGGGTCGTGATCGGCATTCGTCGCCATCTTCGGGTTGCCTCTCGTCGTGGGCGCAAGCTGCTCGTGCTGTGCGACAATTTGGGCTTCGCGCTGGCCCTGGGAAGGGGCCGGGCGGCCGCCCCCCGCGTGAACAAGACATGCAGCGAGGCAGCCGCGCTAAGCATCTTCGGGGACATGTCGGTCACCGTTCGGTGGATCCCCTCGGAGCTCAACCCGGCGGATCGACCCTCTCGCATGGCTGGCGCCCTGGCTCGAGACCCGCGGGCGGACCCGCGCAGCGCCTGCTTCGACCCCGCAGCGGCGCCGCAGGCCGATGCGCCTGCTGCGTTGGCCGCGGCGGTGGACGAGGCGCTCCTGCGCGGCGAGCTCGACGGGCTGGGGCGGCCGCGGGTGGGCGCGGTGGGTCTGGGAGACTCACTCCTGGGCGACCCGCTGCCCGGCGGCGCGGCGCGCCTGCACGCTGAAGCGGCAGCCGGCGGCGACGCGCTGGGCGGGCAGGGCAGCCTGGCACCCGTGAGTTCGCAGCCTGGGGAGGCTGGCCGGCTCCAGAGGACGAGGGCAGTTCGAGTTCGGACGCGTGCTCCGACGGTGGCGAGGCCGACTATCCCCGCGACCCCGAGAGCGGCGGGCCGGCGCCTGATGCGGGTGCCCTCGCCGGCGCCGGGCGGGCAGCTGACGGCGCCGCAGGCGAGGGTGGCCCAGCGGATCAGCCGCCGGGCGACCCGCCGCCGCGCTGCAGCGGCGCTCGCGGCGCTCGCGGCGCCGGCCAGGCTGCCCGGCAGCGGCCTCGCGCTGAGCTTCTTGGAGAGCAGGCGTGTGACGGACAAGAGCCGCGACACGCTGGGCCGCGAGGCGGGGGCGTTCAGGGCGTGGTGCCTGGAGCAGCGGAAAGACGTGATGCCGAGGGCGGCACTCGACGAGGCGCTCGCGGAGTACCTGGGCTGCTTCTACTTCGACGGCTACAACCACGAGAGAGGCGACGAGCTGCTGTCGGGCCTGGCGTTCGAGGGGCCGAAGTTCAGGCGCGGCGGCGAGCAGGGCCTGGCGCGGGCCCGCGCTGCCCTCCAGGGCTTCCGCCGCTTGGCGCCTGGGCAGGCCAGGATGCCGCTGCCGCGGCCGGAGTTCGCTGCGCTGCTAGGGGCCGGAGTCGTCGCGATGGGCTGCGGCTGCCGAGCGACGTCATGAGCCTGCAGGGACGGTCGCTCATCCCGCCCCCGCCAGGCTCAGGAGTTCGGAATTGGGGCCTGCTGTTGCACCCCGCCGAGGCCGACGGCCGGAGCAAGGCGGGGCAGAAGGGCGAGGGGTTGCTGCCCGACGGAGTCTTCACGAGGGGCATCGAGTCCCAGCTCTGGCGGCGGCTGAAGAGGGCAGCAGGAGACAACGGCAGCTTGTGGGCATTCACAGCCGGGGAGTTCAGGGCGTGCATCAGGCGAGCGGCCGCCATGATCGGTCGGCCGGCCCGGCGCCCCTACCAGGTGAGGCGCGGGGCAGCAAGCGACGACGCGCTGTACCAGAGGCGGTCCCTCGCCGAGATCCAGGAGCGCTTGCGGCACGCGCGCCCCGCGCGCCGAGGTGCAAGAAGCACGCTCGGTACCTCGCGGAGCTCGGGGGGGCGCCCCCGCGCGTGAGAGCGCACGGGGAGGCAGTGGAGGCGCAAGCCGCGGCGCTCCTGAACGGGCGCGTGGCGCTGCTGCCCCCGCGCGACCCGGCCGCAGCGGGGCGCCGAAGGCCGGCCGCCTGCAGCGGCTGGGCGACGCGCTCGTGCGGAGCAGGCCGCTGACAGCAGCTGCGATCCGAGCAGGACTGAGCGAAGCGCTGCGCCAGGAGCTGGGCGATCGGGCATCGGGCCTCGTGCTATCTAGATCTCTTCTCGGGCGCAGGCGGCGTCGCCCGCGCCATCAGGCGGCTGCGCGGCGTTTGCCTCGAGGTCGATCTCAAGCACTCAGAGTTTTTCGATATGTCTTCGAAGGTGGTCGGGCAGACCATTGTAGGATGGATCGCCAGTCGCCGTGTGCTCGCTGCCGCCGCCGCTTTTCCTTGCTCGACCTGGTCGCAAGCCTCGCGCAATTATTAT